TCGCATTGGGGAGAAGTTATTGTGAACTCAGGCTCGAGGTGACAGGGTTTACTTTGAGGGTCAGCATGGAACGGGGAGGAAGAGTCAACAGCATCTGGAAAACAAGCAGACATGTGGGTGAAAAAGAACAAAGTGTTCCAACCGGCTTTAAGGTTTCGAGCATGAGTGCCAGGCAGAATGTAAGGGTATTTTTTAAAATATGAATATGGGTTAATAATTTGCCAAGTAAGGCAAACAATTGCTGCTGACAGCCTCTGCTAAGTGTCCTGGTCTTGCAGGAGTTAAATATACAGAAAGCTGCAGAATGCTATTATTTTAGAGTCTTGCAAAAATGAAATTTGATTAGTCTATTGGATGATATTCCAAAGAACCAAATGTCTTCCATGAATCAGTCAGAAATGCTTAGGAAAACCAAAATAAAAAATGCTTTCTAAGCCAATAAAGGTGCTAATTAGTGCCTTCTGCATATCTAACTACATCTTCTCCAGTAATACATTTTGCAGGGTTAAGTGTGGTGTCTGCTGCTTCAGATGGCAGAAGTCCACCTAACAGTAGGGAGGGTGGCTGGAGACTCAAGTATCTAAAAGGGAATCAGAACTGGCATTTTAACCCAAGGAATGGGATGTATTAAATGGAACAGGGAAAGTTTTTTTCTCACTTTAATTTTCTTCCATATCAACTCTAGGAAACTTGAGGATAGTAGGACTTAATTTTTTTTTTATCTCTCTCCTTCCCCAAATGCTTTTAGAGAGTAAAATCTGGTTTTAAAATCCTAACAAGGGTATCCTGGAGAGGAAAAAAATGGAGAAAATATCAAGACCAAGCAACTAGAGGAGCGAGTATGGAATTGAGGAGGACTCAGTGAGCAGAGCTTTGTGTGGGGAATACGGGTACATCCGCAAGGATCCCATCTTCTGCCTGGGGCAGCCTCTCGCCTGGTGCCTGCAGAAGCGTGGGGGAAACCCAAGTACAGGAGCAGTTTGTCTGTCCTGTTGTGGCATTGCCTAGGAGTGAGATTCTTGCTCTGATCAGAGGTAGCAGACTCAAATGCTTCCAGGAGCTAGGCAGGTAATTGCTAATGAAGGAAGCAGGTAGGAAAGAGTCTGCAGAACATTGGAGAATACGTTGCCTTCAACAGACTGCTGCCCTGAAGACACCTGGGCCAGTGCTGCTGGCTGGTCCAAATTTTAAGGGAAGTCCAGGAATTCCAATCCCTGTGTGAACTGGCACATCATGGGCCACCAGCTTGCACCTCTCCATTCAAGTTCTTTATTGAAAACAGGCAAAGGGAAGCAGAACCTGATCCTGACAAACCCGTCCAAAGGCCTCAGGAAGTTTACCTTACTCATTAGCAAAATGGGGAAAACCGAAGCAAAATAGGCAAGGGGTAATACTTTAACAACTGCCCTGTGCAAGACTCTCCACTGCCTGGGTCCAAATGTTGGAAAGGCCAATCACTGATTTCGCAGTGACCAGGAAATAAACACACAGTAACACTGTGAAAATACCACTTGGTCTCCCAGGACCTAGGGAGCTGGAATGTAAGATGGAAATCAAGCAATAAACCTAATTAATTTTTAATAATTTTGTCACAGTTTTAAAAATGAGGCTTATCTTGTGAATTTAAAAAATCCTATCAGTTTACCTTGCCTTGGTTTTCTCCAAAATCTAAGCTTAGCAGCAAAGAAGGCTATATATCTGAATATATTGGCTGCAGATAGACATTTGTGTCATTTTAAACAAGATGAAGAAAAAAAATATAAGGAGTCTAGTAAAGAATGTAAAAGCTGTATTTGTACGTCAAGGAGGATGAGGTTCAGGTGAGGGGTCCCCTAATTGTCAGTGATGGCCGGACCTCACAGGATGCCAGCTGTATGGTGGAAGGCTAGAAGCCCTTTTCCACAGCTGGTTCTAAAACTGTGTAAGGCTCTCATATGTGTCATCAGACCAGAACCCTTCCACACACGCGCTGTGCCCAAGCCGGGTCTGCTTTGCACATCCCTAAGAAAACATGTTACCTTTAGGGATTTCTTTTTCTCTTGGAGGCTGCCCTTGGTTTCCTGGCAACCAGATTGCTCCTAAACAACAGCAGGCAGAGGGGTGTGGTCCGTGGGGTGGGGCTACTAGATCTGTGTGGGCACTAGAATCCCATGAAGAAGCCCTGGGTGAAGGGCTCCAGATTCTGGGTGACTTGATTTTCTGCAGGGACGGGGTTTTTGAAAATTCAGCAAGGCTGAGCTAACTCTTCTCATGAATATCTGAAAATGGATCATTTCCTCTCTGACAATTTGAACAATTCACTGTGGCTACAATAGCAGATCCCTGGCCTGGATGTACACATTTATTCACACATTCTAGGACAGCCAGAGCAAAAGCAGGTAAACAGAAAAGACCACGGTGGTGGCAAGTGCATCAGTACTAGCAGAATATGCAGTCATATGTCCTTAGAACCGTGGAATGTTTTAGGAGAGATTAGGTGCTCAGAAACTCTCCATAACTAGCCAGGTCAGCTTGACCAGGCAAAAATGGAGGCTTACTTTGTGAGTTACATGCAAAGTAGTAGATAGAAGAGGTGCTTGTAGGAAGTGGGCAGGGAGAAATGGGAAAAAAAATTACTTAAAACGATAAATATTTATTTTACCTTGCATTTGGGAAACATTATTTCATCATGGTATCAAGTCATTACAATATGATTGCCTAAAAATTATACTGTGCTTGCATCTATGACATGATTAATAAGGTGGCAAATGGGCTTTCACTCATGTGATAGCTTCAATCAATTGGCAGTGATGCTATGAGTTTGAGAAGCTCTGAGATTGAATTGCATTCACTGAGCAAGAGTGCTGCAATGGATTAGCAATGCCTGCCTAGCTGGGGGACTTGTGTGCCAAGTAGATGACAGTTTTCAAACTCTGGATCCTGGAGGTGCCTCATAGGGTGAGGGAAGAGCTAAAAGGAAGAACAGTCCATGCAGAACAGCTCTCTTTTTATCTATTTAAATCAGTAGAATTTTGTAAAAGATTTCATACGATTGTGAAATTCCACTGATAAAACCCAAAGTTTTAATACTATGTTTGTAATGGAGAAAAAAAAAAAAAGACTGGAGTTTGATTATAAGTTCATTTCTCATTTGATGCATATGTTTAAGTCAAATATTCTATTGTAAATTACATGAATATTTGTCACCAAATGTCACATAGGAAATTTAAAAAACATCACATTTGTTTCATAATAATGGTCATTGGCTTTGATATTCCATTCTTGGTAGTGGCTCCCTGAAATGTTTTATGAAGCAGTTATGTATTATGTTCCTCCTAGCAACTTCTAAATTTTAAATAGGTACCCCAAACCTATTCTGTTTTTCTCAAAAAAAAACTCATGAAGTTTTTTCTAAACAAAGGATGGTCAGTAAATTAAACTTCTATGATAATTTTAATCAGTTGTTAGTGGCTTTCCTGAAGAAGTGACAAGAAAGTGATGCAATGGATCAATGATGTCTGCCGTGAGAGTAGCATTGGCAGTGGTAGCACAGAGGCTACATATACATATATTCCCTACTCTGTATTTAAATCTTTAAAATAGATTTGTATTTCTCACCCTATCTGACTCTTGGGGCAACAGAGTTCCATTTAGTTTGTAGGACAGAGACATTTACTGTATCTGTTCTCTGACTGACTCTTTAAATTGTAGTCACGCATTCCAGACTTAGCTCAGAATCCACTATTCACTTGCACCTCAATAATGTATCTCCAGTTTCTATATTTCTATACTAGTGGGGTTTTTTTTTTTTTTTTTTGGTTTTTGGTTTGTTTGTTCTCTTTTTTTCTTTTTGCCATTTAGTAGGATCACTGAGCCTTTCAAAAATTTACTGAAAACTACAGGTACTCCTAGCTCCACCTCCAAAATTTGGCACTGAATGGCCTCTCTGATAACCAATATTTATTTTCTCTTTTCCATGCTCAGCTCCACTATCAGGTAAATGAACCTTCAGCCTCACCTTTCTCACATTTACTTGTTTGTTCAAAAATCTTTCATGGATTTCCATGTCCTAACACCTACACATAAACTCTTCTTTCTAGCTTCCAAATAAGCTACAGGACATTCTGTTGGAAGTGTGGTGTGCCAGAAACAATAACAACAAACTGAAATAAACTGTAGCATCTTACCGGCCATGAGAAATTTATTTAATCTCTCTGAGCCTCAGTTTTCTTCCATATTAAGTGGAGACTAATAATACCTAAATCCTGGATTTGTTGTGAGAATTAAAAGAGATTGTGTATGTACCATACCTAGTACATTGCCTTGCATAGACTTAGTGCTAAATAAACAGTAGCTATTACTACTATAATCAATAATAAAGGTAGTAATAAATTCCTATATCTGCTACTTTGGGCTGTATGATCAGGGGCTCATTATTAAACTTCTCTGAATCACAGTTTCTAATAGGAACAATGAAGACAAGTTCTAATTATAAGGCTATTGGAAGAATTAGATGATACAAATGACTGGAAGATGCTCAATAAATGCTGGGTCCTTCCTATATTCTTTTGCCTGCCCCCACTCTGGCGCTTCAATTTTGTATAACATGAGGAAGTATCCCAAAGCACCTTGTGAGCTAATCACATTATCCCTGGCACTGTGATTTGCATTTGCTATAGACATCCTTTGTCTCTTCTTTAAGGGCAATGCCTCTTCTCCATCCCCCCATTCTTAAAAATCCAAGACAAGTACCACTTTCCTCCATGAAACCTTGGCTGACTACTTCATTTACCACTGACTTCCTTCTTCACTGAGCAAGTATATTTCCTCAAGTGCTTGTCACACAATTTGGCCAGTAATTATATTCTGTCTTGTTCACTACAGAATGCCTTGTAGTTCATACTTATAACAACTTTGGATATGGAAATTCAATTCTACATTGGTTCAACTGGGGATGAGAAAATTTTCAATGAGATAAAAGAAAATTAAGTTCACCTCACCTTTTGTTGTTGTCGTTGCAGTTTCTTTGTCTGAACAAGGGATGGTTCAAATGACCGTGAATGACTACATGAGGTAGGTAGCAGACTCAGTGTTACTTCCCCCCAATATTTTACAGCCACTTCTTTAATAAATGAAATGGAAATGAAGAAATTTCTTAATAATACCATGGATTTTAGGATCTTGTGAAAGGACAGTGGTTTGGTCACAGTGCCTAGAACATTTCACTGGCTTTGAGAGAAATAGAGGTTTCTTAAATGTCAAAAAGTTGCAAGCAAATTGAATCAATAAATGCCGACTTCAGGGGAAATTTAATTAGAATATATGCGTAAATGACATTCTACTACAGTGCAACTGTTCCTAAGGACCTGTTCATAAAAGAGTTGCATTCATATTTCCATTTTGTCAATGTTATTACTCATCATTCTATTTACTGGACAATAATACGTACAATTCCAATGTTAGACAGAAAGCAGGGAGAGTATCTTAATACAAGGAGAGGCTAAGTCTCAAAGTGCGGTGCCCAGAACAGCAGCGGCAGCAGCACCTGGGAACTTAATAGAAATGGAGATTCCCAAGCCCCACCCCAGACCTACTGAACCGTAAATACTGAAGGTAGGATCCAGAAATCTGTATTTTTGCAAGTCCTTCAGATGATTTTGAGGCACACTGGAGTAGACTATAAGCTCTTTGAGGTTAGGAACTCTGCTTCCTGTGCTTTCATCACACTTGCATTTTCAGGATAATTCCAACTAGTTGAGAATGAAATATACAGTACTGTGTCCCTACTGCTCCTCAATTCACACTGAAAATGCTATTTGTCATAGTTTTTTTTCCCTTACAGGATTGTTGTTTTTACTATCCGTAGAATCATAGAGCTAAAAGGGACCACAGAAATCTCTCAGGCAACTCTCATTTTATCAAGGAGAAAAATAAGAGCCAGTTTCGATGACCAGCTTGGGCTCCCATGGCTTTATTAGAAAAGTGACTACGTGTGGATTCTTCTGGACCCTGGGCCAGGCCTGTTTCTAGGTGGCTCTGTTGAACATTACAAAATAAGGTGTGACCCTCAAACGCAGAATGAAAAATAAATTCTGGCAGGCCTAATACAAACGGAGGTGAGGCAGAGAGTGAAAGGGTGTCTTTTTCTTCTCCTCAAGATGCCCAGCAAGTTCAACTATCTGTTAAAAGCAGAGTTTTTATTATCCAGAAACACACACTTTCTCAGGCTTAATGAAAGGAAGCAGTTAAACAAAGGAGAGTCGGGGCCTAGCCATTCTTCCTAAACGTGGATAAGAATAAGACAAACTCAGCCGCCCAAGTAGGATACCTTGGTCTCCTTGGGAACATTGATATCTACACTGTACTCTTTGATAAATTGTAATTTTGTGCCAACTGGCTATTATATTTGAGAGGGCTAGATGTGATCCATGGTATAGCTGAGCTAAATAAAACTGAACTATACTGTCACACGTTCTATTCTCTTTGGAAGAGCTTTCAAGTGATATACAATGCAGGCCTACTGAATAGAGTGACTCTCATTTTCCCAGTGGGAGAGTTCGTTACCGTTGCATATGGATGGCCACGGGAGCCCTGGAGACAGCACTTAGAGATTGTTAGCCATGCAATACGAAACCCTTCGCTACTAGGAGAATTAACGTGGAGTTGCTTCAGTGGCTGCTCACTGTGCTTCTTTCATCAAGTAATTTTTACTTCTTGCCTAAAGTTGGTGCCTAGCGAAGCTGTGTTCCTGAAAGATTCCCCAATGAGTTGCCATCTGTCAAAAGTGAGACATTCTGCCACCTTTATAATGAACACTAGCGGGCACCTAACGCTTACATTCTCACACCTTCTGTAACACAGCGCTCTGGAAAAGAGGAGCCGGTCTTCCCTCCCAGCTATCTCTTCTTCAGAGGCGTGGCCATCCTGGATTGTTAGAAACTAAGAGGAAATGCAAATGTTTGCTCTGGAAGAAAGAGATTTACAATGACCTCCCAGGGAACTATCTAAATCAACACCTCTCATTGTTGGTATTTTCCCCACTGTAGATCTCTGCATCAGTTTTCAGGAACTCCCACTCTATCCAGAGGGACCAGTTTCAACTCTTGCCATTCTACTGCGAGTATACCACAAAGGTATGTAATTTCCAGGCACTTTTCATCCAGAGAAATCTTTCCGTGCAACAATGGATTTCATGAAATTATAAATAGGCACTTGGTGAATGAATGGATGAGGAAATGAATAAAAGATTTCCAAACTCCAACTTGCAAGAATGGTATAAAAGAGTTAGTAAAATTGGAAACAGACTAAATATCTGTCAATAGGGAAATGGCCAAATAAAATTATTGGCCCATTCGTTTTATGGAATTCTATATAGCAATAAAATTAGGTAAAGATATGCATAGCAATTTAGAAAGCTCTTCAAGTCATATTTTTAAGGGAAATAAGCAAGATGCAGGAAGATACATAGAATATGTTACTATGCATAAAGCAAACAAGAAAAAACTATAAAGCACGTTTGTAATTACATAGTAAAATATCTGGAAAGATACACATAGATTTAGCAGGAAGGGGATCAGGATTGGTGAGGGTAATGGCTAAAGGGAGAGAGAGCCTTATGTCTAATATTATAATTTTTTTACAAAGTGAGTATATTTTATGTATTAATATTTCTTGCAAAATTAAACATGAATTACAAGGCTAATGATATTTTCATATGATATGAAAATATATTTAATGATAAAGCGATCAACAATTATATTCTTGATCATGAGACTGAAACCTTTGGAAAGCTGGGACCATCGCTGTTCATTTTTGTGCTATGGGTACCTAGCATAGAGCCTAGAACAGATGAGCTTAGAACCTAGAGCCTATGACAGATATTCAATGAATATTTGTATAAATGGGTAGGATAAACATTTTTTCAGTGAGGTCAATATAATAACATATTAATTTTTTCTTGCATGATTTAGAATTTTTTCTTCCTTGAATCTCTCTCATATTAAGGTGTCTGTGTCGATTTAATCACGTGATTGGCACTCCTGGTTCTCCAGTTAATTCCAGTGATTAAGATAATCAAAATAAGCCATCTCCACTTCACATTATGAATATTGGTCTATTTGAATCTATTGCAGTGCATGGTGAGCACAGTTAGTAATAACCTATTGTGTATTTCAACAGTGCTAAAAGAATAAATTTCTTACATTCTCGTCACAAAAAAAATAAGTTGGTAAGAAGGTGGATATGTTAATTA